TCTTCGCCGTGATAAATTTCCTTACAGTGGATTGTTATTAGTGAGAATAGATTAACTCCTCCCGAATATTATCTAATATTGAAATACTTCTTCTACCAGTATTTTCTCTTTTCCCGTACCAGTATTTTCACTTTTCCCGGCGTGAACGTGTTAATATTAAAAAAAACTAGCTGCTCCATTTCAAAGATGAAGTTAGATTTTAAATTTAATAACATGTTTTAGTACAAAGAGATTATCTTTAATTTCTTAGATAAATGTTTAAATCAAAATAATATTCTTAGCACTTTTTTCGTTTTGAGCTATTCATACAAGAAAAATATACACTTTCAAGTTGCATCAGGTTTTAAAGAGTTAAGAAAGTTTTCGTGTGCTTCACGCAGCTGCGTTGTTGTAAATTTAACCCTTAAAATTTTGGTAAGATGGCTTTGGAATATTGTGTGTAATATTGACAAACCAAAGTTATTATCCTATTTTGGGGAGAATGCTTTTATATATTTTAAATAATAATTACGACTTGAATTTCGTCGATTGTTTCACGTAAGCAATGAAAAGAATGCTTTCGTATAATTTACGCAATAGTGACAAAGGGTATTCCCCATTTAGATGCGGCAAGAATGCTTTTAAGTATTTTACTTATAATTGACGAAGCAAAGTCACCCATTCTGATTTTTATAAGAAAGTTTATGTATACTTATGAAAGTTACATGAAAGTTTTTATATAATTTGCCATTTAAATTTTGGTAGGAATTCTTTTGTGCTGTATCCGTGATAACAAAGCAATTTTTCTATTTAAACTTTGATACAAATGCTTTTAGTAAAGTTTAAGTAAATTTGGCGACAGGCATGAATCATTTAGATTATAGTAAGAAGTTTTCGATTTTTTACGAAATATTGATGAAGTTCAGAGCATTTTTTGTTTTTGTTTTCTTGTTCTGAACTTATTTTAAAATTAATTCTGTGATAATTAATATTGTTCTTTATCTAATGCACTAAAGGCATTTTCATTACTCACGTTTGATGAAAATGCTTTTAGTAAAGTTTTAGTAAATTTGGCGACAGGTATGAATCATTCTGATTTCAGCAAGAGACTTTCCATTTTTTTACGTAATATTGAGGAAGTTCGGAGCATTTGCTTGTTCTGAAGTTATTCTAAAATTAATACTGTAATAATTAATATTATTCTTTATTTAATTCAACGTCAGTAATACGGAATATATTCCACATTTTATGCGGTTTCCGAGTTTTAAAAAATCTGATACGGTGATCTACATAAAAATTTTCGAACATTCAGCATTACAATGAAACGGTTTAAACTCAAAACCTTATTAAGGTAGAAGTGAATGTGAGTGATAATATGGTTCAATTCAATGCAAAAGTCTTTCACTGTACTTAACATCACTTTTAGCAAGTCTCATCTCCCCCAATTCTTAAGCTGCTGTATTTTACTACTGTTGGAGATATTTTAAACACGTTAGCGTTAGCTCCCGACGTCCTCGTTTGAGGACAGTTATTTTTAAACGATAAAAACTAGTGAAATAATTGTTGCATCAGTAGTTTTTATTTCTGGAAAGAAAACGTCGATGTATCTCGACATATTAGTAATATAAAGATTCTAATTTAGATCTGTTATTATGGAAATGTCATTAAAAAAAAGCCAAGTGGCAGCTAACGTAAGAAAATATCCACTTAATTTCTTTATTTAAAACAAACTGGGTACCTAGGCCGCGCAGCGGCCCCTACCCCATACATCATGAAAATCATACAGTGAATAAGACATTTTGTTTTTGTGATATTGTGGTAACAAGAATATGAACATGATTTGAAGTATATATTGACTTGAACGGTGATTTACATAAATTGCCAAATCCACTTAATTTATGTACTTGCAAACCATTACGTTTTTCAAAAAAGTTTTTTCCTAGTGGTAGGGAAATTCCGAATTAATTGAGATTGTAAACAGTTTTACTTTAGACTTAAATGAACGCTTGAACATATTTTCAGAGAACCAGCAGTGCTATTATCTAAATGTCTGAATTATTTAAATGTAATGATAATCAAAATCATTCTAAATCACATTCATCTAAACAAGAATAAAGTATATATAAATTTTGCTACCACATTAAATGTAATAAGTAATATCTTCTCGAAAATCCCGAAAAGTAGACAGATATCAGTATTTCTGCACTGCCAATCTTTCTCTAATAGCACTTTTTCACAAATTTACTATACAGAAATTTGAGTATTAACGGGTCAAAAGAAAACAAAGTCATTTGCACATTTTTCAGGAAGAAGTGAATGTAATTGCCATCGACTGGAGTTTAGGTGCTCGAGTCCCTTACTACATACAAGCAGCAGTAAATACTGAATTGGTAGGCGCAGAGGCAGCGGTTCTTTACTACAGGATTAAAGACAAACTTGGAATCCAAGAGAAAGATCTCCATCTCATCGGTTTCAGTCTGGGTGCCCATGTTGTTGGCTTCATTGGAAAGAGAATGCAAGAATTACGCGGAACTAAGCCTGGAAGAATTACAGGTATATTTTATATTTGTACTTGATCCAATTTAATAAATACTCCTTTGCTTTTACATATTATTAGCTTTACTTTTTAACTAAATTGGGGCAAAAATTTTTGACCTATATACTAATTTCGCTACTAATGTTCTTGCAAAGTTGACGAATTTCTACGATTTTAGAGTTAACTAATTTTCAAATCATAATTATTCGATTTGACTTGACTTGATGGGTGGGGGACCAGAGTACCTACCCGCGAAGCTGGCATCTCACTCCTTCATCTGAAATTCGCGTGAGTGACTGGGACTATTTGTATAGGCATAAAAGATCAGAGTGTTGGCTGTGCAGCCTCTGTGAATTACAGATAGATCTAAATATAATTAAAATAATGTGTATTAACTAGATGAAGAAGGTATGAGTAACATATTAAAAAATATATGTCATTTGTCATAATTATTCGATAGAATCAGAATTCTTCGATAGAATCAGAAATTACAAAGTTGGAATTAGTTTTGAAAAGGAAATGATAGTTAACAGAACATTTAAGAGATATGTTTGCTTAAGATTCTTGTCAATTCATACTTTGTTCCTCCTTTCTTCTGTTTTCTATCTTTACTACCAAAGTCATATCTACATACCGGGTTACCTCACTTGGTTAAAATCAACAACCACATTGCCTGCTAACCTCAACGAAATAAAGCAAAATGACAAATACTACACGATGAATGGGATAAAGGGCCGCTTCGCGTCCCAGGCATTCAGATCTAAAAGCAATACGCTTCATTTCAAAATCATCAAAATAAATAAAAGCCTCAACAAATTTGTTAATCGCAGATCCACCTATAATAGTATTAGATTTAGCAACAGCAATATTGAAAGCTCTATCCTGGGGTTTCCCCACGTTGACCATCAACCTGCACCCAAAACTAAAGTCACACATAGTTTAAAGCAAGCTGCGTCGTTTTATTTTCATTATTATTATTTATTCAAGCAAAGCTTTTGAATTCCCATGACAGCTTTCACATAGCATTCTGATCTCAAAGAACTTATACAACGATAAATAATACAGGTTGAATGGAATAGGGGTCGCTGTGAGGCCTAGGCGCCCGGCTCATAAAACAAGATCAGATCAGACGCGGTTAAAAATGCAAAAAGTGGTGACTAATGAAATTCCAAATTTTATTAAAAAAGTTTAATATTAGCAGCTTCTTACAGCTTTTTTTTTTCAATTTTACTATCGAAGAATGCTCCAAGCGTCATAAACCATGGTTTGTAATATAAACATTTAGTAGGATTCTTTTAACATTTCAGGCTTAGATCCAGCCAGCCCTCTATTCGAAGATGAAGACGAAAGTGTTCACTTATCAAAGGACGATGCTGAATTCGTGGACGTTGTGCATACAAACGCTGACGCTATATGGTACGGTGGCGTCGGTATAGAGAAACCCATAGGACACGTTGATTACTATCCAAATGGTGGCAAGAGGCAACCTGGATGCCCAAGTACTTTAAAAGGAGTTATTTTCGATATGTTTAGTAAGTGTCCTGCGAATAAGGTTTTTAATATAGCAGTTTTTTTTTCCTTAACCGATTCAGCGCTGCACTTTTAAATAATAGTGTTAAAAAAACTATTGTTTGCTTATTTTTAAGCATAATTATTATTTGCATTTTTATATCGATTATCATAGCGCCTGCAATATTTTTAATCTTTTATAGAATTTTAGTTAAAAATTCCTTAGCTCAGTTTTTGTTCTACCGCTCACAAGGAAACGTAGTTTTCTGAAACAGACAGTATAACCATCCATATTAAAAAAAAAAAAACACATAAAAACCCTTTAAGAAAATCTTCAGTGAAGGTTAAACCTACACGGAAGAATTTTTTTTTCGAGCTGAGATATTGCGCTTACACTTGCTTACGATTTGGTGTCTAGACCCTCCAAAAACCATTCATAAGTTACCACAAACTATTGATCGAAAAGATTTAGTCTAATGCAGATTACTTCAATCTTTGATTCCCTAAAACATTATTAAATATTAACACATTGAATGCCATGGGGATCAAAGGTGACCGGCACTGAGTTTGTTCGTAGCTCCACGGGGTCACCGGTGACCGACGAAGCCAAGATTATTAGAAACTTATAATTGGAGTAATTTTTTAATTTTTTTAATATTATTATCGTTACTGAAATTAATGCAGTATAGAACACACAAAAATAGTTTTATTTATATACACT